TATTATCCTCATTAGCCGTAACTCAGAACTAGTGCTGCATTGTTATGCTGGGATGTAGTTCAATTAGTATAGGGTTTAACTAGTATGCATGAAATTGAGTTCAATCCTGTGATGAAACACCATGACCAAACAACTTGGGCAGGAAAGGGTATATTTTCCTCACATTTCCATAGAACATTTCATCACCAAAGGCATTGAGGGCAGGAACTCATGCAGTGCAGTAAGCTGGAGGCAGGAGCTAATGTAGAGGCCATGGAGGAGTGTTGCCTACTGGCTTGCTCAACCTGTTTTCTTATAGAGCCCAGGACTACCTGCCCAATCACACTGGGTTGTGCCCTCCTCCATCAATCATTAGTTAAATAAATGCCCTACATACAGACTTGCCTACAGCCCCATCTTATAGAGGCATTTTCTTCACTGAAGCTCTCTCCTCTCAAATGACCTTTGCTTGTCAACTTGACATAAAACTATCCAGCATTTATCAATTGGACACAAACACATCAGGGTAAAGGCACAACCTTTCCTTTCTAATCTATTTTATTCCCAGGAACTCTCATTAAATATATAAATAACTTTAAAAGTTTTATAGTCAATACAAATTCAAACAATTAAAAATGCAGTCTCTTTAAAATATCCAATCCATTTAAAATTCCAAAATGTTCAAAATCTTTCAGCTGTGAGTTCCCATAAAAATAAAAATAAAAATTAAGTTAAATACTTTCTTCAAGAGGGAAAAATCAGGGCAAAGTCACAATCTTAACCAAGTAAGACCAAACTGCAACAGTATAAATAACCCAATGTCCAATTATCTGGGACTCACTAACAATCTCCTGGGCTTCTCCAATGAGCTTGGTCAATTCTCCAGCTCTGTTCTCTGCAGCAAACAGTTTGTCTTCTAGGCTCCAGCACACTGCCCAAAGTCCCATCCTTCCACAATCCTCCCCAAAACATAGGTCTGTCACAGCAACACCCATACCAATATGCTGCTATACCAACTTGTTTTCGTTATGGTTGCTATTGCTGTGATGAAATGCCATGACCAAAAGCAACTTGGGGAGAAGAGGCTTTATTTTGCTCACAGTTTCGTATAACAGTTCATCATCAAAAACAGTGAGGATAAGAACCTGTAAGGAGCTAATACAGAAGTCACATATGTTTACTGCTTACTGGCTTGTTCCATTTTTATAGAACCTAGATTATCAGCCCAGGGATAACACCAACCCCAGTGGGCTGTGCTCTTCCCCATCAATCACTAATTAAGAAAATGTTCTACAGCCTTGCCTATGGCCCCATCTTTTTAGTTGAGGTTCTCTCCTTTCTTAATTAAGGTTTCTATTGCTGTGAAAAGACACCATGACTAAGAAAACTCTTATAAAGGAAGACATTAAATTGGGGTATCTTGCTTACAGTTCAGAGGTTTAGTCCATTGTTGTCATGATGGGAAGCAAGGCAGCAGGCAGGCAGACATGGTGCTAGAGAAGGAGCTGAGGGCTCTTACATCTTGAGAGGCAGGCAACAGGAAGTGGTCTGAGACAATGGGCATGGCTTGAACATATAGACCTCAAAACCCACCCGCACGGTGACACTCTTCCTTCAACAAGCCACACCTACTCCAAAAGACCACACCTAAATAGAGTCACTCCTTATGGGTCAAGCATTCAAGTACATGAGTCTATGGGGGATACCTTTTTCAAACCACTACACCTGCTTTCAGATGATTTTATTCAGACCAATTCCCTAGCACTACATAACACCAGGCATGGTGGCACATACCTATAGAAGCAACCATAACATCAAATTTTCACGGTTCCCTGCTTAAAGCTTCCTTATATGGAAGCTACTATCTCAAAGCAGATATCTGTCATGGTGCCTACAGAAAGTCCTCTCACTTGTTGTTAATGTTCCATGACATAGTGGTTGTGCTGCAGACCTATTAATTTGGGTCAAGCACCACAGTCAATTTGCATGTTGAATAGTTAGTGGGTTTCAATAATAGTTTTCATTGACCACAAGAAATTTGTTTGAAGAGGGATGAGAGCTACACTTACTTGTGAGTATTAAGTATTGAGAACACAGAAACAATCCAGGTGTAGGAAATGTAGTGTTAGTAGTAGTTTCTCCTCTAGGGTCCTTGACCTCACCAAGTACAGACAAAGGGTTAGGTTTACTGTTTCAGTCATGAATTCTACCTACTGAATGAGCAGGCCTTCAGTTCAATTAAGTGGTTGTTGGATCTCCTTAGGATACAGGTGCCACTACTGAAGTACCATGCCATGCTGGTTACAACTGTGATTTGTAGGCTTTATAGATAGGTAGGATTTCTGATTGATTACATTTCTCCCTTGTCAACTTGCAAAGCTCTCTTGGTACTACAAGAGCTAATCTTCAGACAAGGATTCTACAGCAGTTCCAGCTTCATTTCTCTGAGTCTTGTGTCTGAAATGTGTGGAGTTTTCAGCAACAGATTCTTACCTTCAATGTACTTATTTCTCAGACTTCCACTTCTCATCTCCCATCTCCACAAGATGGATACATAAGCAAAAGCTACTCCAGGATTGCAAAAGGAAACAGACTATTAAAAGAACAATCTGGGCCTAGATAATTCCTGACCTCATGCTGGTGAGGTGTGTGTTTACACCATGCAAGGATACTGGACCATTACTCACTGCCCCATGCAATCATTCAGTATTTACTGGACCTTGGGCTAAGTGCAGCAGTAATCTGCATGGCTGATGGTGGTGAACTATTTGGGAAGGATTAGGAGGTGTGGCCTTTTTGGAGGAGGTGTGTTACTGGGTGTTGGCCCAGAGATTTCAAAAGCACATGGAATTCTCAGTTAGCTCTCTCTGCCTTATGTTTATGGATCTAGATGTAAGCTCACCCTGTACGATAGTCATGGACTCTAATCCTACAAAACTGCAAGCCACAAATAAACACCTTCTATATAAGTTGTCATAGTGTCTTATCACATCAACAGAAAAGAAACTAAGACATTTGATAAGAGGTAAAGACTGAAGTATTTAAGGTACAAGACAAGGAAAGCCAAAGATAGGAACCAAATCAGATAGTAAAAAGAAGAGTGAGTCCCTTCTACAGAAGTGAGCATTGGCCTGATAAACTCATATTTCAAGTCTCAAAATACTGAGGCAAAAAATACATAAAACAAATTTCCATTGTTTTAAATCACTTTGTTACAGCAGCCCATGGAAATTAATTCAGCACATTTACTACAGTTTTCTATTCGATTATTTAATGACCAGTGATTTAAAATTTATATCTGGAACCAACTATTAGACATATTAATCAGTTCTTTTATAGCAAACATGTTATATTGTGGGAATAGTGATTTTGTTTTTTCAATATTACTAAAACAATCCAGCAAAATGGTAATCACTAAAGGTAGTATACACATTCATGCAAAATTATAAAATGTTTACCCAGGAGTATGAAATGATTATCTAATTCAAGTTTACTCAAAACTGAATAAAAGTTTTATTTTAAAATAATAATAGTTACAAAAATTTACAATAAACAACAGTTTTATACATGTATGAATCTTTCATCTCTTTATTTGAGTAAAGAGAAGACAACTTTCCACATTCAAGAGGTTTTTAATGTTGTAATGATTACCTAAAAGTAAAGTAACAAGAAAATACAATTATTTCAAGTAACAAAAAGATATATTTATTTCCATAAGAATCATTTCTTTTGAAGTATCTCTTCACCACTTAACACATACAGTATATAATATGAAATAAAAACAATTATCTAACTTAAAGTAACTTATTTAATTTTAATTGTATGAATCCAAAGACACAAAAATGAATCACCACCTACTAATTCAGAGAGGACATGAAAGAACAGAAATTTCCCATCAATTTCTAACAAAAGTAGAGATAAATAAAAAAATGTATACAAGAAGAGAAAAATCATTCTGAAATCAGTCTTTAAATGATCTTTAGAAATGCTGTAAGTTCCTATAAACCAGACACATACATACATGCACTGGTAAGAATAAAAGGTGAGCTATTTTATAAAATAATTTTAAAGGCAAATGCTGCTCTTAATTAATTAGGCAATATATTACAACAGAGTATCAGATGGATAGTGTCATATATGACAGGTTTACTTGCATTAAAAAATATTATTACTGTGACTTTCTCTGTCTTTCTAATTTCAACTAGAGATTGGTATCCATTAAAACTACTAGACTTACAAGAATCTCCACAACAGTGCTAGTGCACAGCAAGAACAGGGCTAGGGACGGGGATGCACTCACTGAGCACTTGCCCAGCAGTAAGAAAAGGACTTCAGTTCAATTTGCAGAACCACAAGACAAAAGTATATAAATATAGCTACTATTTCCTTCATCACAATGTGAGCTTTGTAAATGTGAAGAGTTTTCTCTCTTTTCCATTCATTTATTCCAAACTTAAAGAACAATACTTGGTATCACATTACACTGTTATTCATATTTACTGAATATAAGCAAGCAAATAAAATACCTATTACTGATGACCTATAATCTTTTAACAGTACACTGGTCTGTATAGTTAAAACAATGAACTAAAAAGGGCTATATAAGGCCATAGGAAATAAGATTGCGGAAATAACTTCACTTATAGTTTGGAAGGCAACACAACTTTTACTTAATATTTGTATTATTTAGCAATTATTTAGCATGTCTGAATTTCATACATCAAAACACTATAAATACTTACTTAATGATAAAATAAAAGGAAAATACGTACCAAACTGTTTTGGCATCAATAACATGATGACCACTGTAGCTTCCATATTCATGGAACTATACATTAGCAACTACACAATCATTGTAACAAAATGAATCAAAATGCTTTAGCTGTTCTTACCTGAAGGAACATAAAACGAATCACCAGTACTTATCATATATGCTGTTTCATGTAAAGTGCATAAAAGGTCACCAAAGTTAACATAAAAAACCTATAGAATTAAAAAAAAAGAAATCTCAGTTCAAATTGAACCACAACAATTATGCTACAGAAATTTTTAAATGAAATACAACATGAAAAATAATGACTCCTCATGGATGTCTGTATTCTAATCTCCAGAACCTGGAAATACATCCTATGTATCAACAGAACCTTGAGACGGAGAGTACGTTTTAATTTCATCTGAACCAAATCTAAACACACAAACCCTCAAAGATGAACTCACCCATACCACCCACCGATCCCCATACAAACACATCCAAGACACACACACACACACACACAGAGAGAGAGAGAGAGAGAGAGAGAGAGAGAGAGAGAGAGAAGAAAATGAGGCAGAAAAAGCAATTTTAAACTTAAGGTTTTTGTACTCTTGCTGGTGGTAAGGAGAAGGGGGCACAAGTCAAGGAACAAAAAGCTGCCAATCTCCAAATAAAAAATGAAAACGTCAGTTCTATAGTCACATGGGAACTGAATTCTCCCAACAATATCAATAAATCTGGGAGGAAATAAACAGGTTCATCCTTAGAAAAGGAAGCAAACCTGTCAATATCTTAATTCCAAACCCTTGATACTCTGAATAAACTATACAGCCAAGTCTACCAAATGTATAACTAGGCAAAATAAGATAATTAAAGGTCACTACTTTAAGTCACTAGTATGTTGTATTTTGTTAGATCTATAACAGAAAACTATTATGAATTCAATTTTGTTCATTCAATGTCATGAAAATTCAGTACTTAATCTTACAAGTAAACTTTACTAAAAAAGAAAAATGTTATACATGTCCTTCAATGATTACATGTTTTTTGAATAACACACTTCTCAACAGGAATGATGAACCACACATAAGATATGAGTAGGAGACTGCTCTTTCATTTCTCAACTGCTCAGACCCAAATAATCATGTAGAAATTGTATTAATTACAACACTGCTTAGCCAATAGCTTAGGCATATTCCTGGCTAACTCTTATATCTTAAATTAACCCATTTCTATTCTTCTGTGTACTGCCATGAGGACTTACTGGAAAGGTTGTGGGTCCTTCTCCTTTGGCAGCTACATGGAGTCTCCTGGACTCTGCCTTCTCTCTATATATATCCCTTCCAGCCTGGCTATCTTCTGCCCTGCCACAGGCCAAAGCAACTTTATTCATCAACCAATAAAAGCAACACATACACAGAAGGACATGAACATCACAAATCCATCTTGTGGGTGTGGGAGATGACAAGACAAAACAAAAAGCCCATCTCACATATTTAAACATCAAGAATAAGAAATAGGATAAATTTACTTTTCAATTATACTGGCTTCAAATTCAAAGATGGCTAACTTCCCAATTTATTTATATGTAGACAGTTATCTATTTTGGAGGCCACAAAAATAAACATAAAGAATCCAAATTTTATGATGTGCCTACTGTTAAGTTTATCATCAAATTTTGTACTTTGAAGTCTTATTCCCAATTTGATGGTATTATTGTGGAACCATCATGAAAGAAATTAATGCCCTTAAAATTACACCAGAACATTCTCTCCCTTTCTGTTTCTACCCTTCCTCCCTCTACTCCCCTCCCGTCTGCTTGCCCCTTTTTCCTCCCTTCTTCCCCTTCCCCCACATCTCTCCTCCATGTAAACCAGAAAGTATGCTTTCAACAAACACATCTCAATCTCTAAAACTGAGAAATAAATGTTCATTTTTAGAGACACTAAATCTATAGTATTATTATTAATCTAAGGCACCCTTCAAGAATATTTTGCTTCAGATAATATACCTGTTTTAAAAGTGTGAGGCACAGAGGTTAGATAAGCTTCAAAAGTCAATGAACTGACAGAACTGGGATTAGGATTGTGCACTCCAACGCCACAACTCACATCCCCGATCTCTACGAAAGGATAGCTCTCTAAATTGAGAAATGTTCCTCCAAATTTTTTTTGAGGAACTAGAAAAAAAATTTTTTAATTTTTCTGTCATCTAAAAATCTACCTCAAGTAGAAAAGGTGAATTTAGAAAGTCATGCATATATTTCTAGATCATTTTCCTTATCTGATCAGCTTAGCTCTCTAAGCACACCTCTTCCCACTTTTGCCAATATTTAATTAAGATAATTTTTAATTAAACGAGAACAGCTCTGCATAATAGTCAAATGAGAACATTCAAATAGCTAATATTTGGATATTAGAGTGACAAACTAATCAATAGGGAAATAATACAAGCTATCACATTATCCCACAAAAAATGATTATTATCAAAAAAAACTAAAGATAAAAATGCTGGTAAGGATACGGAGAGAATTGAATGTTTCTATTATATTGGTGGAAATGTAACTCAAGGCATGCCTTATGGAAAACCCCAAACAGATATCTCAAAAATTAAATCACAACTATAATATGACCTAGCAATTCCTCTAATGGATATATATGCAAAGGAAAAAAAAGGAGTCTATCAAAGAAGTGCCTGAGGCTCTCATGTCTACAAAACCCAAACACTAGAAATAACCTAAGTGCACACTTCCCAATAGGCAGATACAAAATGTGATACATATACAGGATGGAATAAAATTTCATAAAATAAAAAATATTATCGTTTGTGACATCAAATAAAACTAGAGATCTTTATGCTAAGTAAAATAAACCACCAAAAGACACTCCTGTAATATAAAAAAGTTAATCCCAATGGGTACTAAGTTACAGGTAGAGAGACAGAAGCAAAAATCTCTGACACACAATAAGACTAAAACAGAAAAGAATACTCTGTACATTTTTAAAGCAGTAAGAAACATCTTATCTATTTTTTTAATTTTTTTTTAAGATTATAATTACAACATCTTCCCCTTCCCTGTCCACACTTCAAACCCTCCCATATACCCCTCCTGCTCTCTTTCACATTCATGGCCTCTTTTTTCCTTGTTATTACATGTACACATGTACATCTATGTACACATACATTCCTACATACAGCCTGCTCAGTCTGTATGTTACTTGTGTACTTCTTTAGGGCTGACCATTTGGTATTGATAACCAAATGCTGTGCTCTTCCCTGGAGAAGTCTATTTCTCTTGTTCTCAGAATTCCTTAGTTACCTTTAATTCTTTGTACAGGACTAAGGCCTCATGGATCATCCCTTATACATTTTTACCATAAAAAAAATGATAAAACTTCAAAAAATAGGTTTATTTAACTTGATTTAAATAGTTTACAATGTATCACACATGCATCAAAATATCACATTACTCTCTATATATTGCTTTTTAACTCTGCTGAAAAATAATAAAAATTAAACTAAAAAAGCATGATTCAAATATATTACAAAACACATTTTTGAGGGGCTGGAGATGGGTCAGGTAGTAAACACAAGCAGGAGGACCTGAATTCAGATCCTTAGTACCACAGTAAAACAAAGCAAAATAAAACAAAAAACAGGTAGCATAGTACATGCCTATAACACCAGCGCTTGGGTGGTGAAGACAGACAGGAGGGTCCTAGGGTATCATCACCCAGACAGGCCAGCCAATTGGTGAGCTTCAGGTTGAGTGAAAACTTTATCTCAAAGAATAAAGTAGAAAAGCAACTGCTATCAACTCCTGATTTCTACGTGCATACATTTACCCTACCCATACACATGTACCCACCACCAACACACAAGCATATTCACACACAAAAAAAAGAATTTAATACATATAAACATAGAACAAAAAAGCAAAGCTGCCTGTCCAATATAATCTATTTCCTTCACTACTTAGTATTTGACAAGAAAGCCTAGCATAGATAATTTAAAAGCAGTACTGTGTACTAAAAGATTAAGTCCTTTATAAGGATATATATAACCACAATACTGTCATCACTAAAATTAACGTTCAAAAATTCCACTTATGTCTTCAACATATTTTCAAGGGTTTTTTGTTTTGTTTTGTTTTGAGACTAGGGTACACACACAATAAAGGTACACACAGTTACTGATCAGACCTTTCAGTTAATAGCAGATGTCTCAATCAAGGCTGATTGTTGTCCTCAGGATAAAATAGTTTTTGAAAACGTAACTGTCACCGCCTAGTGTGGTACCAACAGAGAGAAACCAATAGAATAGCTCCCTGCTACAATAAAGACAATCACCCAGGGAAAAACGTTAACCATGCCATGCTGGGAAGCCCTGACGTAGAGGTTTTACCTGGTTCTCTCGTTTCAATCCCTATTGCTCTCATATACAATAGACTAAGTAGCTGATCATAAAACCTTCACACAGCAGGACTTTATTATACTCACTTTCAGCTCTCTTTCACTCCCCATGAACTAGTAGTTTGAGCTAGAGACCTATGATTCCATGTTATTTTCTTCCTGTTTCTATGTATTTTAAAGACTTTAAGACTACTTACAACTCTATTTTTCTATCAGGAAATACATGTCTATGCTTCTTACAGATGCCAGCAGCCACTGATGCTCAGGGCCCACATTAGTTTATCAAGGACACAAAATGGTGATTATTTCAAGGGCAGCATTCCATGTTCACTCAGTACCTAAGCATTCCTAACAAGTAATTCTCACCTATTGTCGGACTACCTCACTTCAGACTTCATATGCGAATAAAGGATTGCTCCCCACTTTGACTATCAGCTGGGAACATGCCGAGCAGCTTTATCTAACAGTGATAGACTCAGACAGAACTCAAGGACGTCAAACCAAAGAGTGTTCTTTCATCTTTGGCCAGTGAGAGAGCATCTTTAAGCTGGATGCTGAGACGTTATTACCAAATCCTGCTCATACAGCTTCCATCATGTATGCCATGATAAAAATATCCAAAGCCTAAACGAAGGCCCAAATTGGGCATTTCCCACAAGAAATGGAGAAATAGGTAATGAGAGGCAGTTGACATTTTGTTTGTCTTGTTCTGGATTATTTATTTATAATGTTTAAACTGTATTTCAAAATCTTTTAAAAAAGAAAAAATAAAAGAAATTCTCACTTTAACATTCCTACAATTTGAGTACATTTTCATGTTTTGTTGTGTTCTTCACATCGTTTTTTTTTAATCTAACATTTATTTCATTTTATTTGGAGGGGGGCAGTTTACAGGCCACGTCTACCTGTAGAAACTGTAGAAACCAGTTCTCTCCCTCACAAAGCTGCCAAGCTTAGCAGCAGGCGCCTTTACTCACTGAATCATCCTGACGCCCTCCTTACCTTTCCTACTTCCTATCTTAAGTGCCTTTCTGCTTTTTAGGAAAGATCCATAATCAACTACTAGTACAATGCTAATCTTCCTTTAGTTTGATCTCTTCCTCCTCCTCCTCCTCCTTTAGACAGCGTCTCTAGCATTGTACCTGGAAGAAGTTAAAGGCAAATGCTGGGGTTCTATTCTTGTCTCTTTGTTTTTCAAAAATCATATCAAGTATGCTTAAAGTTTTTTAAAAATGCAAAAATACTTTGTTTGCTAACCTAAAAATTAAGAAAAATGTTCCAATTATTAAGAAAATATTTAATTCCAATTTTCAGTTAAAAATGCGTACTTGAAGCTAATAACCAATCACACAGTAACACATTTTCTATGTTTTCTTGCCATTTATATTTTCATTCTAATCAGGGGCTAAGGATGCAGCTCAATGGAAGGAAGCTTGTCTAGCACACACTGAACCCTAAAGTTCCATTCATAACACACAGTAAAGCAGACAGAGGGAAAATAGAAAGATAGATATAAATTAAAAATTTGCTTTAGAACTTTAGCCCCAAAAAATTCTCATATAGCTAGTATTAAAGATACATTTGAGATAGTTTTTAAATATATTTCTTAGATCACATTTGAAGTTATGTAACTTTATTTTGCCACAAATTTATGCTATTAACCCAAAATAAAAATACAGTCATTTTTCTTCCTGTACTATGTTTTTCTTTTCCAAATTTTCCAATTATAAGTAGTGTTACAAATGAATGTACATAATCAGTTTGTACTCTAATAGAAAGGTAGGTATTTTTCTAGTTAAATTGTATTAATTCATTATAGTGTCATTTGTTTTAAGATGTGAATCCCTTTTAATACTAAACAGGTTAAATATTTCAAATATTTATTATTTAAATTTCCTTTTACATAAGAGCATTATAATTTAACAGGTAACTATCATTAGGTCGGTGATGATATACAATGTCTTCATCATTAGTCATTGTTTAATGCATTGAATTAAATACATCATTAAGAACCCTGGAATAGGAGCCAGAGAAATGGGAAAGAGCACTTGTTGTAAAGTGTGAGCACCAGCACCTATGTCAAAACTCAGCTGTGAAATGTGTGCCTGTAACCCCAGCACTATAGGGGAAGATGGAGGTATAGAGGCAAGAGAATAGTTGGGCTTGTACTCTGTCAACCTAACGCCATGTTCAGTGAGATCCTGTCTCACAGGAATAAGAGTAATTTAGCAGGACACCATCTGGTCTCTACACCCTGCCATATGTATCTATATCACACAGACATAAAGCTACAGAACATTAACACTGAAATTATTTTAATTGATTCTAGTTACAATGATGCAATAATAAATTATTCTGACAATGTCCCTTAATTATAATATTGCCACAATGATGGCATAATATTAAATATCCTTAAAATAAACTTCGTAAATTTTACACTTATCATGTTTAGAATGAAGTGTTAACAGCACTCGCGAACATATGCACAGCAAACATGTGTACGCAGTAGATATTGAGACAAAGGGAGAGGGAGAAAGAAGAGAGGGACAACTTCAGACACTGTTAGATACAACAGCCCCCTGATACTGATTGAGGCAGCTAGTCCTTTGCCTCCAGAGCACTCTAACTATTTAAATCATCTTAAAACTCTTTGATCCTCAACCACATGATTACAGAAGTTCACAAACCTTAATCTCTATCATTCCTTTTAGCTCTAACATTCTACTTCTTTATTTGCAAATCTGTATTCTAAGATTCCCTTAACAATCACACCTCAAACCACTGAACCTCAGGGTTGTGCTATGCACAGTACAGGTATTTTTAAATAATTACTGACTAGTTAATCGCAACAGATTTAATAAAGGAAAAGATTTCTTTGTGCAGTATAACAATGGGATTTCACTACCAGGTAAATAGAATTTCAACGCATCATCAGAGAAAAAAAACGTCAGTTGTACTTATAGAAATAAGTGGAGAAATACACTCACCAATATATCTTGGCCAACATGCTGCTTTCCTTTTTCTTCATAGGGTCCTAAAATTAATTTTCCAGTAGAAAAGACTGCTGTATCCAACGTTTTAAAAACTTTTAAACCATGTTGCTCCACAAAAAATTGGTATGTATCTCGTGGCCTTATAAGATCTAGGGAGCAAACAATAATACAAATATAGTACCAGCTAAACATGCTTAACAGCCTGCAATTGTCATTTTAACACTTAGGGAACTAAGGAAGGTTATAAACTGGAAGTCCCTCTGGGGCACACATGGGAAATCCTATTGTAATAGTAGTATTGAATGATATATTATAAATATGTATATAAGAGTCATATAGGCCATGCATACATACTCATTTACAGAAGGCCTAGGCGTACTGGAAAAGATAACATATCTGGTAGGTAATAGTATCACTTGAACTCCAGAACTCAGAACACAAACACATGATACTGTATTTCACATAAATGTTCATTCATAATTATTCTCACAAAGGCTGTTTATTGGAAGAGATTTTAGTGCTGAGAGAGGAAGAGAAGAAAGTAGGAGGAAGAGGTAAAGGAGAAGTTGGAGGGAGGAAGAGAGCATACACACAGACCAACCATTCAATAGTTTCTGTTAAATTATTTTTAATATCATTCCCAAACTTACCCATAGGGACAATCTCTCTTGTTTCTGGGTCCTTTGCCAATGTTGCCTCAAAGGGATTTCCTAGGGGTTTATCCAGATTCACCACTAACCTATCCTCTGTAGAACAAACACCATTAAAACAAAACTAATTTGTAAGCATTATAAAAAATTTCAATACAAAATATAATTAGAGATAAGTTGTAATAAAACCTGACAAAGATTTAGCAACCTCTTTCTGATCATGTTAGCATATTAATAAGCAAAATTTCAAATTCTAAGACATATGATTTAATGTAAAGTAAATACCTCTGAAAGCTATTATGTAAACTTTTCATTTCAACAAAAGACTAAATGATGATTTGCATAATCCCTCAGATCTGCAATCATGACAAAGTTCTGGAAATGTAAATTAAATATCTATTGCAACCATATTTTGAGCATGGAAAAGGAATGAGTCATATGACTAGGTAATGTTCTCAAAAGGAAACATTTTATACTATACTGTAGCTATTTTTATAAGAATAAAATTGTCAATCCTTCGGAGGGGTGAGTTTGCTCCTGACCCGTGGCAGAGGCCCGGCAAGGAGGAGTTCAGACATTCCCCGACCCCCTTTACTCCCTGGTTACTCTGCAGGGGTGGCTCCATTCTGCTAAGCTCTCCCGCCTCCTATCCCAGCTTTCACCCAGGTACCCCTTCCTCTATCCCTACCTTCCCCCTGGGGCCATAAAATTCCCCAGCTCAGCTGCCTTGCACACTGGGACTGGGCTTGGGCTGTAAGCGCAACACAGCAGGAGGGAGTTCAATAGCCTGCCTGAGGAAAGGTAGGCCTTCTGTCAGTGAGGTCCCTGCCCAACAAGGGAACCTGACCCGGTATCAGAAGATCCAATAGAGAGCATTTGAAGGAAGAGATGGGCAGACGCCAAGGCAAGAATTCCTCCAACAATCTGAAAAACAACATGGAAATACCAAATTCCAGCGATCCTACAATAGAAGGACTTGAACACCTTAATCCAGAAGAAGTGGAAAAAAGTGCTATTATGAAAGCAATAGAGTCCCTTAAACAGGATATGAATAACTCCCTTAAAGAATTGGATGAGAAGTAAAAGAAAAAGTTTGAAGAAATGAGTAAATCCGTAAACGATAGCCTGGGAAACCAAGAAAAAACAATCAAACAGGTAATGGAAACAGTTCAAGAACTGAAAACTGAAATGGAGGCAATGAAGAAAACACAAAACGAGGGCCGGCTGGATATGGAAAAGCTAGGTAAACGAACAGAGACTACAGAATCAAGCATAACCAATAAAATATAAGAGATAGAAGAACGAATCTCAGAGTCTGAAGATGCCATAGAGAAAATAAACGCTCTGACCAAAGAAAACAGCAAATTCAACAAATTCTCATCACAAAACATTCAAGAAATCTGGGACACAATAAAAAAACCAAATCTAAGAATAATATGGATTGAAGAAGAAGAATTGCAGATAGAAGGCCCAGAAAATATATTCAACAAACTTATAGAAGAAAACTTTCCCAACATAAAGAATGATATTCCTATGAAGGTTCACGAAGCATACAGAACACCAAATAGACTTGATAAAAAAAATCCCCTCGCCATATATAATAATCAAAACACAAAACATACAGATTAAAGAAAGAATGTTAAGAGCTGCAAAGGAAAAAGGTCAAGTAACTTATAAAGGTAAACCTATCAGACTTACACCGGACTTCTCTATGGAAACCATGAAAGCCAGAAGGTCCTGGATAGAGGTACTGCAAAAACTAAGAGACCATGGATGCAAGCCCAGACTACTATACCCAGCCAAGCTATCATTCACTATCAATGGAGAAAACAAAATATTCCAGGATAAAAACAAATTCAAACAATTCGTAGCCACAAATCCAGCCCTACAGAAAGTAATAGAGGGAAAATCATAATCCAAGGAATCTAACATTGCCAACACTGCCTACAATAACTCAGACATCTAGCGACCCTTCACAAGCACAACTCAAAGAAGGGAAACACACAAACTCTACTACACAAAAAATAAAAATAAAAAAAGTAATAACCGGAGTCAACAACTACTGGTCATTAATATCACTTAATATAATGGACTCAACTCACCTATGAAAAGGATACAAAAACAGGATCCAACATTCTGCTGTTTACAAGAAACACACCTCAACAACAAAGACAGACATCTACTCAGAGTAAAGGGTTGGGAAAAGGTTTTTCAAGCAAACAGACCTAAGAAACAAGCAGGTGTGGCCATTCTAATTTCCAACAAAATTGACTTCAAACTAAAATCAATCAGAAGAGATAGAGATGGACATTTTATACTCATAACAGGAACAATTCATCAGGAGGAAGTCTCAATCCTGAGTATCTATGCCCCTAATATAAAAGCACCCACCTATGTAAAAGAAAAACTTTTAGAACTCAAGGCAGTCATCAAACCACACACACTAATAGTAGGAGACTTCAACACACCTCTCTCACCAATGGACAGGTCAATCAGACAGAAACCCAACAGAGAAATAAGAGAATAGAGGTAATGAATCAAATAGACTTAACAGATACCTATAGAACATTCTACACAAATAGGAAAGAATATACCTTCTTCTCTGCAGCTCATGGAACCTTCTCGAAAACTGACCACATACTGGGTAACAAAGCAAACTTCCACAGATACAAAAAAATAGTAGTAACCACCTGTGTCTTGTCAGATCACCATGGATTAAAGTTAGAATTCAACAACAATGCTACCCCCAGGAAGCCAACAAACTCATGGAAGCTGAACAGTAAACTACTGAATCACTCCTGGGTCAAGGAAGAAATAAAGAAAGAAATTAAAGTCTTCCTTGAATTCAATGAAAATAAAGACACAACATACTCAAACCTATGGGACACTATGAAAGCAGTACTAAGAGGAAAGTTCATAGCACTAAGTGCCCAATTAAAGAAAATGGAGAAAGCACACATTGGAGACTTAACAGCACACCTGAAAGCTCTAGAAAAAAGAAGCAGATTCACCCAGGAGGAGTAGAAGACTGGAAATAATGAAACTGAGGGCTGAAATCAACAAAATAGAAACACAGAAAACAATCCAAAGAATCAACGAAACAAAAAGTTGGTTCTTGGAGAAAATCAACAAGATTAACAAACCCCTAGCCAAACTAATCAAACGGCAGAGAGAGAACATGCAAATTAATAAAATTAGAAATGAAAAGGGGGACATAACAACAGACACAGAGGAAATTCAGAGAATCATTAGATCTTACTACGAAAGTTTATATGCCACAAAGTTGGAAAATGTACAAGAAATAGACTGGTTTTTAGATAAGTACCATTTACCAAAGTTAAATCAAGACCAGGTGAACAATCTAAATAGACAGGTTAGTCGCAAAGAATTAGAAGCTGTTATCAAAAACCTCCCGACCAAAAAAAGCCCAGGACCAGATGGTTTCAATGCAGAATTCTACCAGAACTTCCAAGAAGTGCTAATACCTATACTCCTTAATGTATTTCACAATATAGAAACAGAAGAGTCATTGCCAAATTCTTTTTATGAAGCTACAGTTACCCTGATACCAAAACCTCATAAAGACACAACCAAGAAAGAGAATTACAGGCCAATCTCACTAATGAACATCAACGCAAAAATTCTCAACAAAATCCTGGCAAACCGAATCCAAGAACACATTAGAAAAATTATCCATTATGATCAAGTAGGCTTCATCCCAGAGACAAAGGGCTGGTTCAACATATGCAAATCTATCAATGTAATCCATCATATAAATAAACTGAAAGAAAAAAAACATATGATCATTTCATTAGATGCTGAAAAAGCATTTGACAAAATTCAACATCCCTTTATGATAAAGGTGTTGAAGAGATGGGGATACAGGGATCATACCTAAATATAATAAAAGCTATTTCAGCAAGCCGACAGCTAACATCAAACTGAATGGAGAGAAACTCAAAGCCATTCCATTAAAATCAGGAACACGACAAGGCTGTCCACTCTCACCATTCCTCTTCAATAGAGTGCTTGAAGTTCTAGCAATAGCAATACGACAACATAAGGGGGTCAAGGGGATTCGAATTGGAAAGGAAGAAGTTAAACTCTCGTTATTTGCAGATGATATGATAGTATACATAAGCGACCCCAAAAACTCTACCAAAGAACTCCTATAGCTGATAAACACCTTTAGTAATGTGGCAGGGTACTAGATCAACTCCAAAAAATCAGTTGCCCTCCTATACACAAAGGATAAAGAAGCAGGGAGGGAAATCAGAGCATTTTCACCTTTCACGATAGCCACAAATAGCATAAAATATCTTGGGGTAACTCTAACCAAGGAAGTGAAAGACCTATCTGACAAGAACTTTAAGTCTTTGAAGAAAAAAATTGAGGAGGATACCAGAAAATGGAAAGATCTCCCCTGTTCTTGGATTGGGAGGATCAACATAGTTAAAATGGCAATTCTACCAAAAGCAATCTATAGATTCAATGCAATCCCCATCAAAATCCCATCAAACTTCTTCAAAGACCTTGAGAGAACAATAATCAAGTTTATATGGAAAAACAAAAAACCCAGGATAGCCAAAACAATCTTATACAATAAAGGAACTTCTGGAGGTATAACTATACCTGACTTCAAACTCTATTACAGAGCTACAGTATTGAAAACAGCTTGGTATTGGCAGAAGAACAGAGAAGTCGACCTATGGAATCGAATAGAAGACCCAGATATTAACTCACAAACCTATGAACACTTGATTTTCGACAAGGGAGCTAAAGGTATGCAATGGAAGAAGGAAAGCATCTTTAACAAATGGTGCTGGCATAATTGGATGTCAACGTGTAGAAGAATGAAAGTAGATCCATATCTATCACCATGCACAAAAATCAAGTCCAAATGGATTAAAGACCTCAACATTAATCTGACCACTTTGAACCTGATAGAAGAGAAAGTGGGAAGTATTCTACAAGACATAGGCACAGGAGACCACTTCCTAAGTAGAACCCCAGTGGCACAGACAATAAGAGAATCAATGAATAAATGAATGGAGATTGAGACAGAGACCCACATTGGAGCACTGGACAGAGCCCCCAAGGTCCAAATGAGGAGCAGAAGGAGAGAGAACATGAACAAGGAAGTCAGGATCAGAGGGAACCTTCATCCGATGATGGATGGAGATTGAGACAGAGACTCACATTGGAGCACTGGACTGAGCCCCCAAGGTCCAAATGAGGAGCAGAAGGAGGGAGAACATGAACAAGGAAATCAGGACCGTGAGGGGTGCACTCACCCACTGATACAAGGGGACTGATCTAATGAGAGCTCACCAAGGCCAGCTGGACTGGGACTGAATGAGCATGTGATCAAACCGGATTCTCCGAATGTGGCTGACATGGGGGCTGACTGAGAAGCCATCGATAATGGCTCTGGGACTTGTTTCCTCTGCATGTACTGGTTTTTTGGGATCCTAGTCTGTTTGGATGCTCACCTTCCTAGACCTGGAGGGAGCGGGGAGGAACTTGAACTATCCACAGGGCAGGAAACCCTGACTGCTCTTAGGACTGGAGAGGGAGGAGGAGAGGGAGTAGGGGGAGTGGGAGGGTATTGGGAGGAGGGGCGGCAGTGGAAACTTTTATAAATTAATAAAAAAAAAAGAATAAAATTTTCTTATATTCTAAATTGGGGGGTGGCATAAAATGATCTTTACTGATGAGGCTACTATGTCTGAAGGTTTTTAAGAGATATGAAATCTAAGTTACATTTGAACAGGTTCATACTTTCATGGTTATCACGACGGATCCGTTTCTTGTTGGCTTTTTTGTTGACTTTGTCCAGGTTTCTTTTTGCCTTTTTGGGGGAAGATACTGGACGTGGGGATACTATTCCAATCACAGTTCTTCCTAAAATTGAACAAAAAAAGTTTTCCTGGGACTTTAAAAACTAAAAGCAAAACATTAAATATATTATATTCCCTTTCAAAGTACCAAAAGAAATGTTGTTACTACATGTTACAGCTGTTAGAGACACAAATACTAACCAATTTCAATTGTGTCTCTAACAATCTAAATCAGATAATGAAATCTAAATCACTGATGAAACAAGACTCAATGACCTGTTACTCACTTGAAATCGACAGTTGTCAATGGAGGATTCAAAACAAAAAGAACACTGCAGAAACTAGTAATAAACTTGAAGTAGTGAGCAACATTCAAGTGTCCTTTAACATAGCTATACCCATCTAAATAGGGAAATAACCTTAACACTTAGTTCCTTGTTAACTCTATAAAGGGAGTAGATGCTTTGAGTGAGAAAAATATCATCTTTATCAGATACTAATTTTCTCATGTTCTAATATGTTTCATTTTAGGCTGGAAGGACAGCTTACCAGTAAAGACTTTATACTGCTCTCATAAAGGACCAGAGTTCAATTCCCAGCACCCATGATGGGTGCCTCACAACTACCTGGTCATTCAGCTCCAGAGGGATTCAATAATTCTTTGCCTCACTACATATCTTCACAGCCTCCCACATACACATTAATTAAAACTTTAAAATTATTCACTTAATGCAATCAGAAACCTCAGCTATTTAAGTAATATCTACAAAGTCAGAGAGCCAAATAATTAGTTATTTTTTTTTTAAAAAAAGGGGGGGAGGGAATCAACAACTCTAAAATAATGTGAAAATTTGAATTAAAACTCTATTTTTAAATGTTTGTATGTGGGAGGGGATACAAATATGTAGGATATAGTCTGTCACATGATAAAATTATTTAAAGCAATGAATCTTTCATTTATAAGACATTATCACCTAAATTAGGTCTTACCTGACGGCCTTTCTTGATAATCTATCCGTTCCCCTCGCCAATATTCGAGAGGTTTCAAACGTATTCTCTTTGTTCTACGAACATTTGGTGAATTGGAGGGCAGTACTGTCAAAGTTAAACAAAAATTCAAAAATTGAGCAAACATAGTAAAGATGCATACCAACTCTTAGAACATAATGTTTCAATGATGAGACAAAATCCCCAAATTTTTAGATGCTTGTGCAAATAAATATACATGAACTTCTAGATTGGCCAAGAAATAAAAGTTTGATAATACCCACATGTGAGAATGTTAATAGTATTATCTTATCTGAACAATGCTACATTACATATATTAAACAGAATTTGTTGTTACAATTTTAGATTCCATTACTTTATGACTGATACTAACTAACCTGCCGAACTACTTCAACCAGGGACCCCCCACCACCACAGTCACAATACTTGGCTAGGTTCTAGGTGTATGAACTTGATGTTACTTCCTGCTCTCCATTTTAGTCTCTCTAGACCAGCCTTCAGACCTGCTGTAGCCTGTCCACCTGAATAATGCCTCCCAAACCATCTCCAAGTCCTCGGGACTCAGTCTTTTCATGCAAAGTTCTTCCTCACCACATCTCTCATTCTCTCCTTCTATCCATTCCTTTGTGACTTCTCACTGAACCAAAGAACTACCAGGGACCCCCACAGTCACCACACTTAACTATGAATAAGGGACTCCAAAATCAGGCTTAGCTATAACCCAGAATGGGCAATAGCAACCAAGACAAAAAGGTATCTTGCCAAAAATCACTTCAAAAGTCATTAACTTCCTAGATTCCAGGACCAAAAAACCAAACCAAACCACAACAAAAAGAAAAAAAAGACATAAATAACCAAAACAGTAAAGGACAGTATATGCCTCTTTGAGAAGCCAGCAACCTTATTTTAATAGCCCTAGGAAAAGCATTTGAAGCACAACAAAAGAACTTCAAACTGGCAACAAAGACCTCAATATAAAACCAGATACCCTGACAGAAAACATGGAAAATAAGCTTGAACTCATTGGCATAGGAAGACTTTCTGAACAAGACACCAAAAGCATAGGGAGTAAGACTACGGTGATTTAAATGAGAATGGCCCTCGAAGGGTCATTTATTTGAATGTTTGGTTGCCAGTTGGTGAACTGTTCAGAAAGGATTAAAAGATGTGACCTTGTTAAAGGAACTGTGACACTGGGAGTGGGCTTTAGGTTTTAAAAATCCACACCAGGCTGTCTTGTCACTCTGCCTACAAACTATGGATCAGGATGTAAGCCCTCGACTACTGCTCCAGTACAATTCTTGCCTGCCTCCTGCCATGTTCTCCAACATAGTAAAAATGGACTATTCCTCTGACACAGTAAGCAAGTCCCTAAATAAATGCTTCCTTTTATAAGCTGCTTTGGTCATGGTGTTTCATCACATCAACAGAAAAATAACTAAGTCAGAGACCAACAATAAATGACTTCTCATGAAATTGAAAAGCTTCTGTATGGCCTAGGACACCATAATTTGAGCACAGCCGTAGTCAATAGAATGGGGTAAACTTTACGAATTATGTACCTAATAGAGTTCATATCTAGAATATATTAAAAAATAAAAAACGGAGCATCAAGAAAACAAATTAACCAAAATTTAAAAATGGGTATACAATTAAACAGTGCTGTGGGCAATGATCTTGTGCCCTGTAAAGATTTCTCAGTTGTATTGCTTTAATAAAACGCTAATTGGCCAGTAGCCAGGCAGAAAGTATAGGCAGAGAATGAGAACAGGAGAATTCTGGGAAAAGGAAAGACTCAGTCTGCAGGTGTCACCCAGACACAGAGGAAGCAAGATGAGAATGCCTCACTAATAAAAGGTACCAAGACACGTGGCTAACACAGACAAGAATTATAGGTTAATGTAGTCTGTAAGAGTTAATAAGAAGCCTGAGCTAATAGGCCAACCAGTTTATAATTAATGTAGACCTCTGTGTGTTTCTTTGAGTCAAACAGCTGTGGGACGGGGAGGAACAGAAACCTCTGTCAACAAAACAGAGTTCTCAAAAGATAAAACACAAATAGCTGAGAAATACTTTTAAAAGGTCAACATCGTTAACAATCAAGGAAGTATAAATTAAAATTACCTTCAGATTTCATAATACACTATGAAATGCTGAGCTCTAAACGAGTACTACTAATCTGGATTTATTTTCCCTGTTAAAAAAATTAAGTTACATTTATAGAGAAATTCAATAATACCATTTTCTTCAATGGAAATAGTGTAAGAATAAATTATTTACCTAATTTGTGATGTATATTACTATCTGGAAGTATATTAGAACTTCTTATTCTTAAATCTGAAAAATACAAAAGATAGTATTATAAACAATACAACAATGCCTGCTAATTCTATATTGACTTAAAGTGCTATCTGATCAACTTGTACTAAGTATTATAAATAAAGATTTAAACCTGAAAATATAATTTATACTTTCTCTTTTCATTGAAAAACAACACAAACTAAGGAAAAAAACAGTATAAAATCCCTTTACTCTTTGATACAATAAACATATTTAAAGAGCACAACCATTAAAATTAACAAAAAAACAAATATTATCTATTATCCATGAATAGCAAATAAGTCACTAGCAAATAAAAAGGCATGGCATAATGGTGAGTAAATAATTTCAATAATGTTATCTACAATCACCCACAACTTTCTTTTTAAAGTTCTAATAGCAAACTCACTCCCAGGTTCTCAATTTAGCAACATTCTAAAACACCAAAAGATTTTTTTTGTCATCAATTTTTTCCACATTGTATACACATGTGATCCTTATTAGGAAATAGAATCACAATATTGTATGGGGGCCCAAACTGGTGAGTCCACCTAGTCTACTCTGCACCCACACTCCCAATCCTCAGATCTATCCACAATCCAAGATCCAGTGCCCAGGCCTAATTTTCTGAGCCACCATCCTCAGCCCCATGCTCTCTTCAACCTCCAAGTTTGGGTGAGGATGCACATTCTGTGTCTGTGTACTATCCCAGCATCCTACGTGTCCCTAATACTTCAATTCAAACGTACCATATCCAACACTCACATGCTGTGCTCTGTCTTAGCCTACTGTGTCCACATCAGATGTAAAACCAATGAAAGAAGTCCATATGCCCACATTTTATCACAAAAAAAAATATTAAAAATCAAAGCAGTATGTTCCCTCTAAATCCACCAACCTATAGAAGTTCTCAAAAGAAAATTATTGAAATGAACTCCAGGATACCTCGTTCAAGAACTACATAAACTTTAAAGAATTCAAGAGTTTAAAGAAGAAACAGCTCCAGTATTACTAAGTATAAGTCTTTATGTTTTAAAACTTTAAAAATGTTTAAATTATTTCAGTGTATTGTGTGTGTATGTGTTTGTCTGTGTCTCTACTGAAGTATTGTAGTTATTATCTTTCACTCAGACAACACAGCATCAGCCTTTAGACAAATGGTGTTTTCATGTTTTCTAGATGGTTTTTGTTTCTTGTTTCTAATCATTTATCATAGATACATTAGTATTTACTCACTGTGACCCAGAGAGTAAATTTAGTTTAGCAGTAACACTAATTTTGTTTACTAATTTTTGAACTTTTATGGGCTCCTCAGCTTTTTAATTATTCATTCAAAACATCACTTTTTGGTTTATTATGACACTGTTTATTCTCTTTGTTTTTTCGAGACAAGGGTTTCTGGTTGTCCTGGAACTAACTCTGTCCTAGAACCAGGCTGGCCTAGAACTCATAGAGATCAGTCTGCCTGTGCCCCCCCCCAGCCCTGGGATTAAACACATGTGGTACCACACCCAGCACTGTTTACTATCTTAAGAGAAATAGTCAGGTGGTGGTGGTGCAGGCCTTTATTTCCAGAACTTGGGAGGCAGAGGCAGGTGGATCTCTTTAAGTTTAAGGTGAGTCTAGTCAAAAAGAGCTAGTTTCAGGACAGACACCAAGGCTATTCAGAGAAACTGTTTAAAAAAATACACATAAGTGTGTGTGTATGCATGTATGTAAAATCCCTGAGTTTTGCATATGCCAATAGCTTTTATTTAGAGTTCTTGTTAATAGTTCCTTGTATGATTAATATCCAGGTTATCATCTAATTCAATTTCAACAGGAAATTTGTTCCTAGTAGTACGACTGCTACCAAATACTACTACTAACGTATATTTTAAAATATTAACTCTCTTAAGGATTTGATGATAATCACTTAGTAGTTTATTTGTGAATTATACAGGTGATCATGTTTAATGACAATGAATGAGTTGTCACATGTTTAGTAATCCCTCATCATTTCTCTAGTGAAACATCTTGAATTTTACATGCAAATGGATGGAAATAGAAAACACTATCCTGAGTGAGGTAACCCAGACCCAAAGAGATGAGTATGAACCTTCATCCGGAGATGAATGGAGATAGAGGCAGAGGCCCACACTGGAGCACTGGACTGCGCTCCCAAGGTCCAAATGAGGAGCAGAAGGAGGAAGAACATGAGCAAGGAAGTCAGGACCATGAGGAGTGCACCCACCCACTGAGACGGTGGGACTGATCTAATTGAAGCTCACCAAGGCCAGCTGGAGTGGGAGTGATGGAACATAAATCAAACCGGACTCTCTGAATGTGGCTGTCAATGAAGGCTCACTGAGAAGCCAAGGACAATGGCATTGGGTTTTGATTCTACTGCATGGACTGGCTTTGTGGGAGCCTAGTCTGTTTGGATGCTCACCTTCCTAGACCTGGAGGGAGGGGGGAGAACCTTGGACTTCCCACAGGGCAGGGAACCCTGACTGCTCTTTGGACTGGCAAGTGTGGGGGGGAGGAAGTGGAAATTTTTAATTAAAAAAAAAAGCTCAAGGGGCTAGAGAGATGGCTCAGCGGTTAAGAGCATTGCCTGCTCTTCCAAAGGTCCTGAGTTCAATTCCCAGCAACCACATGGTGGCTCACAACCATCTGTAATGAGATCTGGTGCCCTCTTCTGGCCTTCAGGCAAAACACACAGACAGAGCATTGTAATAAATAAATATTTTTTTTAAAAAAAAAGCTCAAAAAAATAAAAGAAAATAAAGAAGAAACAGCTCAATGAACTTAAAGAAAATAAATGCCTAACTGATGCCCAAGAAAACACAAACATGAGGCTGATGAAAATGATAAAAACACCCCAGAATTCAAAATTCAATAAAGAGATGTATATTGAAGAAAGCTCAAGATGAAACAAAAATGAATAAAAGAGAAAAAAGAAAAACTTTAATAATCCAACAAGAAAACTTAGGAGAATATCAGGACTCAAAGATAAAGCAGAAGAATAAGACTATACAAGTAAAGAATATGAAAAATTTAAAAAAAAACCTACAGGAATGAAACATGTAGAAACAATGGAACCCTATGAAAAGACAAATTATAGACAGAGATGAGGAGCAAGAATCCCAAGTCAATGGATAGATAGTCAATAGATCAGGATCTTTAACAAGATAATAAAATTGAATGTCCCCAAATTAAGGAAAACATCCCCATACAGATACATAGTTAAAACACTAAGTATGCAGAACAAAGAGAGAATATTTAAAGCCACATGAGAAAAAAAAAAACAAAAACACTTGACATAAAGAAAACTAGAAGTTCTAAGAGATCATGGGTGACAACCTAGACTATAGTAGCCAACAAAACTATCAATCCTAGTAGAAGAAGAAAAAGTACTCCATAATATAAAAGGCTAAAATAATTCATGTCTACCAAACCAGCTCTAAAGAGAATACTGGAAGCAACAATTCTATTTTTGTTTTGTTTTGTTTGTTTTTTCGAGACAGGTTTCTCTGTAGCTTTGGAGCCTGACCTGGAAGTAGCTCTTGTAGACCAGATTGGCCTCGAACTCACAGATACCGCCTGCCTCTGCCTCCCGAGTGCTGGGATTAAAGGTGTGCACCATCACCACTCGGCCAACACTTCTATTTCTAAACAAAAAAATACAAGAGACTATAGAAATATATATATATATAGAGAGAGAAATATAAGAGACTATAAAAAACAAAACAAACGGAACTACAATTAGTGAAATAAAAGTACAACTAAAAACACAAATGGAGAAGAAGATAAAGAAGAATGCAATCACCACAAACCATTAAAGACTTATGGTCTCAACTCTGCAATCAAAAAACAGATCGGCTGACTGGATCAAAACACAAAATTCATCTTTCTGCTTGCTACATGAAACTTGACTTATCTTTAAAGATAGGCACCGCTGAAAGTGAGTAAGCGAAAAAAGATATTCCAATCAAATGCAACCAGAAAGCAAGAAAGTCTTGCTAACTTACTATTTGATTAAATAGGCTTCAAGCTATAACTAATCAGAAGAAATAAGGAAAAATGCATCATTCTAATCAAGTGAAGAATTAATCAAGAAGATATCTCTATCCTAAACACACATGCACCAAACTCTGGTGTACGCAATTTCATAAAAGTGAACTACTGAAATGAAAAAAAAAAAATCAAATTAACATCAACCTATTAATACTATGTGATTTCAATATCCTACTTTCTGCAAATGAACAAGTCATCTGAACAAAAAATAAACAGAGAAATATCAGAATTAACTTACCAATGAACGTAACTGATATCTACAGATTATTCTATCCAAACACAAGGAATATATATCTACTCAGCAGCACATGTAAAGTTCTCTAAAAAAGATATCCTGAATAATTCTTACGAATTCAGAAAGATTGAAATAAACTCTGTAGAGCCTATCTGACCATGATAAAACAATAAAACTTAAAACAACAAACAAATCTCCAGTAAGGACACAAACTCATGGTGAATAAAAAATTCATAACTTAATGATTAATGAGTCAAAGAAAAAATCTAGAAAGAAGGGAAAAAATCTTCCTGGAACTAAATGAAAATGAAAGCATAACATAATAAAACTCCTGGGACACGAGGGAAATGTGTAAGTGCTTACATTCTGAAATCAAAAAGAGCACAAATAGCTTAGTAAAGCAACTCAAAAAGATATACCAGAACAAATCCAATTTACATGTAATCTGCATGTGAGTAGATGTTTTATCTTTGCTGAAAAAAATCTCCACAGCAGTGGACCTTGAAGGCATCTCATAGATAGATAACTGAATGCATTGAGAATAATGGGAATGAGGTTTCTTACTGTTTGAGAAAGGGCTTACACAAACAGAAAAGAGAGGTCTGTATTGTGCTGGAACTGGAGGTATTGAGATAAATCTGTGGTTTCTAGATATAAATATAGATAGTTGCTTGCTGGGTAGTTTTTGTCAGCTTGACACAGGTTAGGGTCATCTGGGAAGAAGAAATCTGAATCAAGAAAATGCCTGCATAGAATTGGCTTGTAGGCAAATCTGCAGAACATTTTGATTAATATGGGAGGGCCTCTGCATCAGCTCTTGCCTCAAGGTCTTCATCCTGTTTGAATTCCTGTCGTAACTTCCCTCTGGGATGAACTATGATTGGAACTATATGCTGAAATATACTCTTTCCTCTGCAAGTTGCTATTGGTCATGGTGTTTTATCACAGCAGCAAACCCTAAGTTAGATGGCACTGTATTACATACAGTCAGTCTCAGAATATCAGTCTCTCTCCCTCCACCGTGTATGTGTGTGTGTGTGTGTGTGTGTGTGTGAGTGAGTGTGTGTGTGTGTGTGAGTGTGTGTGTGTGTGTGTTCCTATCCTACCCAGAAAAAAACCCTAGAATCAAAGGTATGTCAATAATAACAACACATGTCTTGGATTCTAAATGCCATGGTACATCAATAAGAATCAGGTATTTTCAAAGCAATAACTGATTCCAGAATTAAAAGTACATCTTCTGGAACAACTTATGTCCCCCAACTCCCAAAAAGGCAGTATTCCAAAAATGTCAGATTAATGACAAAGAAGGAGCCAGTTAAAATAACAGCCAATGATGAGATCTATCACTGTTTGAGTTTTAGAAAAAATGATAGTTAAAAACTATAACACCACAGAGAAAAAACTAAATATTTTTTAAAGGATGATGCATTAAGTTTAAAAAGCATCAATTCAGTCTGCTGTTTGTTAGACTTTTTTTTTAAAGATTTATTTATTTATTATGCATACAGCATCCCTTCCATGTATGCTTGCATGCCAGAAGAGGGCACCAGATCTCATTATAGATGGCCATGAGTCACCATGTGGTTGCTGGGAATTGAACTCAGGACCTCTGGAAGAACAGTCAGTGCTCTTAACCTCCGAGCCATCTCTCCAGCCCTGTTTGTTAGACATTTTCAGTTTTCTAACAAAATTTAAACAAGAGGCTTGGAAGATGGTTCTATGGATGAAGTACCAGTTGCATAAGCATAAGGACATGAGTTTAGATTCTTATCACCCACCTAAAAGCTATGCACTGGCCAAAGGCTTTGGGGGGCATAGTGCACAGGGGTATCCCCAGACTTTCCCAGCCAACCAGTCTATCTACAATAGCAATACTCAAGACCTGCCTGGGAAATTTAGCAGGATACTGTTCCAAAACAAAAAGTGAGAGGAATGTTAAGGATATAGCTCCATGGCAAAGTGCTTGCCCAGCATGCAGAAGGCTTTTAATTCATTCCTTAGTAGCATTAAAAAAGAAAGAGAGGGAGGGAGGGAGGGAGGGAGGGAGGGAGGGAGGGAGGAAATGGAATCAAACCAAAATTCCTAACATTGTTAGATTAAAACAAGTAAATAAAATGCATTTAACTGTATCAAGAAAATGTTAGCCAAAGCAGGCTACAGTACATCCAATGGTTCACACACTGCAGGTACATAACAAGGATTAAATAGAATAAAAGGGGAAGTCAACAACATACTGCTGCAGTGAACACTCATTTCACCTCTACTAGGGCTAGCCAAAAAGGATACAAACGATCGCAATATTATCAGGCTTATCATGTTCAAATCTAAGATTCTGTTTCCTCTGCCTCCCCCTAAATATCTGCTCCTCTTTTTGTCTCCAATTTGGACAATAACAATGCTATTGTCTCAGATGCTTAGGCCAACAACCTTAAAGTTATTTCTAGCACCATTTACTTCTTATATTCAACCAGTCACCAAGAATTCCTCTTGACTCTGCTTTCCAAAATTTACTATCAATAAAAGAAACAAACAACAAAAACACCCATAACTTCTACCAGCTAATACTAATTGAAATCAATACCAGAATTTATACATACATGAATTTTATACATAAGTTACAAACACTGAATTTTTGAATTCAAGATAAGAGCTAATAAGGAGCAGAGGCAGATGTACTCCCAGGTCTAGATAACTCCTGGGAAACAGAAAAATCATTATAATTAACACTATATTGCTGGGTGGTGGTGGCACATGCCTTTAATCCCAGCACTCAGGAAGGCAGAGGCAGGAGGATCTCTCTGAGTTCGAGACCAGCCTGGTCTATACGGGCTAGTTTCACCAGGTGGTGGTGGTGTACGCCTTTAATCCCAGCACTCAGGAGAAAGAAAGAGAAGAAAAGAAAAGGAGAATATATTGCAAGGGCCTAGAGAAATAACTCAGGCATTAAAACCATTTATTGCTCCTGCAGAGAACCAGGTTTTGGGACCCAGCACCCACATTATGGGTCACAACTATGACTCCATTTCCATGAGATCTGATGTCCTCTTCTCACCTCAAAAGACACCAGTCACATATGTTGTGCACAGACATAAATGCAAGCAAAATACTCATAAATGTAAAATAAAGCTAAAACAATTTTAATACTTTAAAAAATATATTTTTAAAAGGAACTATTTCAATAATACTATTTAAGGAAACCTATTAAATCACATCAAAACTGTACTCAGGAAAATTCACTGCTTCGTCACCAAATAAAAGGAAAAGAATATGAAAAGATTTAAATTTTAAAAAGAAATATATAAAATACATCTAGATATTAAAAAAATAAGTGAATTAGGAAAAAAAGGTAGCATAATTTTATATTCAAGCACAAAAAAAATGTGTAAAACTCTACTGAGACATAAAAAGCTTCAAAATCATTTAAAGTCAAGGAAAACACTATAATGAACACAATATAGAGACCACCTACCTTCAGTAATCAACATGTAGTTACTATTACTCTAAATATTTCCTTATCAGTTTAACAGACATCTATCCATCCATCCATCTATCCGTCTATCTGTCTGTCTATCTATCTGTCTGTGTGTGTTTCTTTCTTTCTTTCTTTCTTTCTTTCTTTCTTTCTTTCTTTCTTTCTTTCT